CCTAATGGGGCCTAACTGCCATCATCAAGGGGCTGCACCCCCTCCCCCAGGTTCTGGTGCAGTGGGTCTTGCCGGGCCCCAGGAAGTATCTCACAAGAACCACCCGGCGGATTGCACGTGTATCCAGGTTGAGAACCACCGACAGGGTCGAGAAACCTGACAAATTCATGGTTGGGCTTTTCTCAAAGGCTTCAAGCTTCCTCGTCACTAAGTCAATACACGTTTTCCAAATGAATTAACTGGAGGGTGGCTGCTAGGTCGATGCGTTGCCACTGACCGTAGTGACAGAACAGCCCCCAGGCGGTCCCTGCACGCTGGCCCGGTGTCAGAGGCTGTGGTGAGCTCTTCACGCTTCCTGCTTCCGTCACAACCACCCCACAGCCCCACAGCGGTTAGCATCACCAGCCCATTTTGCAGATGAGGCAACAGATGCAGAGAGATTAAGGAGCTTGTCTAAGCTCACGCAGAAAGGCCGCGTCCTAACCGCTGAGCCCTGCCGCCTCTCTGTGGGAAGTCACAATGCCTCTGCTCAACCCAGGAACACAGCCCAGGGAGTGTGTGGAAATGAGTGAGGGAGGGGATCATCTGTACCTTAAAGACAGCACATAGGCTCTGGGGTCGGGGTGTAGCTCCGGGGTGGAGCGGGCAGGCTCGGCATGCACCAGGCCCTGGTTTCAATCCCCAGCACCAAAAATAGTTTTAAAAAAAATTAAAATTAAAAAATAATAAAAAATCAAACAACAATAACAGCGATAAAAAGACAGCACACAGGAAGAGTGATTATTTCTATCAAAAAACAATAAGAAAAAAACCTCGCTCTTTCTCATTCTTCTCCAAACCCCACGCCCCACTCCAGCTCCTCCAGAAGAACAATAGTGCGAGGACAATACTACAAAGCAGCTGTCCTTCCACCTGTGTTGGGGGTATCTTGGGGAATGGTGGAGAGTGTGACAAACTAGGAGCCTGTTTGAGGTTTCCAGATCTTCCAGTTTGTCCAAAGTATCAAGAGCCAGACCCAGTAGTGCACACCTGTAATCCCAGTGACTCCGGAGGCTGAGGCAGGAGGATGGTGAATTCAAGGCAGCCTCAGCAACTTAGTGAGACCCTGTCTCAAAATTAAAAAAATAAAATAAAATAAAATAAATAGAACTGGGAATGTAGCTCAGTGACAAAGTGCCCCTGGGTTCAGTCCCCAGAAACAAAACAGAACCAACCAACCAATGAAAAAGGAGGCAAGAAATTCAGATCTGGTTGTGAAATCTAACTTAGAATCTACCTGTGAGTTCTGATTTATAATGGTGTGGGGCAAATGCTGGTTTCGCAAAACCTGTGTATGAGTCACCTGGAAAAGTCCAAGCTGGAGAGAAGTCCCTAGGGACCTGGTCTGAGGACAAGCCTTTCCGTTTCCCTGTGCCTTGGATCTAAGGCGATGATAAGGACATAGACAACATGAATTATATATTCCTTTTTCATTTTTCTTTCTTTCTTTTTTTGGAGGGGAGGATACTGGACATTGAACTCAGGGACACTCAACCACTGAGCCCCATCCCCAGCCCTATTTTGTGTTTGATTTAGAAAAAGGGTCTCTCTGAGTTGCTTAGCGCCTTGCTGTTGCTGAGGCTGGCTTTGAACTCGAGGTCCTCCTGCCTCAGCCTCCCTAGCCCCTAGGATTACGTAAGTGTGTGCCCCCCCCCCGCCCCGCTGGTTTTTCCATTTTTAATGACAATTTCTATATATTAGGCACTGGGTCCGATGGGTGATTTCAAGATTAAAATGACATGCGAATCATGGAAAGATATGGAAAAAGAACCCCCAGGGAGAAGAGGAGGAGAGTGGGTCCCAGGGAGAGAAGGGAAACGTTGGGCTCTGGGCTTCCACCGTTTCCCAGCCACCGTGGGCCCTGAATTTGCACGACTGCTCCCCCCAACTGCCCGACTGACACCTCTGCCATGATTCAAGTCTAACTGCACCCTGTAAAACTCAGACCCTTCCTGTAACCAGTTGTCGTTCTCCTCCAGAAAATGTGCCCCTCCGCTGCTTCGCGAGGCATGCTGGTCCCGCAAGGTCTGGCCCCATGTCCTCTCCATTTGCGTTCAGTCCTGGGGTGCAAGAGGGCTCTGGACTCGGGGTCTGCTGAGAGCTGAGAACCCGGGGGCACCGAGGGGGGAAGGCGGCTTTGTCCAGATGAGATGCCATTCCCGCTGGGTCCTGACGGCTGCGTAGGAGCCTCCCGGGCAGTCAGAGCAGAAAGAAAATGGCATTTCTTATTACCAAAGTGTTCTGCACTCCAGCACCACACGACTCTCCTGCGTGTTCAGAACTCTGATACCCAGAGATGGTCGAGTTTGCAGACGGAGACCATGAACCTCAAGGTGCCTCTCTGCTTGAGTTTTAAATTCTTTATCTACTTTTTCCTCTGAGCTCTCCCGGGCTCTCTCTTCTGCAGAACCCCCCATGTCCAGGAGCCGGGGTAGACGATCTAGCACCTTCTCGAACTCCAGCCTCCTCCTCGCTCTACACACACACCCACAGAAGGGCCCCTCAAACTGGACTCTCCCCTCTGCCCCCAAGTCACACACTGTGGCCACTCAGTTCAGCCTTGGGTCTCATGTGTGGACTTGGCTTTTCTCTTGTCTCTGCTCTTCCTTGTCCCTTGTCTCTTGTCCAGATCCATCTTGGTTTGCAAACTGAGGTTTTGACATGTGGTTCTCGGGCTTTAGGCCTCCATGGCTCCCAGCGACCTTGGGACCAAAGCCCAAAGTGTAGCAGGACAATCACAGCCCCTTGGCACGGCTGGCCCAGCCTGCCCTTCCCTCCCCACCCTGAAATGCATGTTCCCAGGCGTTCTGTCCTCCTGCCTACCCAACGCCCCTAGACCGTGGCTCCTCACCACCTCTGTGGCCTGCACGGGGTCTTCTCTCTTCCTTGCAAAACCTTCCTGCCATTTCTAGCTGCAGAACCAAGAACAGGCTCCAGGGCTTCCTCCCCCCCAGGAGCCTCCTCCGCCTTCCTGAGCCCCCGCAGGGACGGAGCCAGCTGAAGACACCCGCAGACAGTGAAGAAGAGCAGACTAGGTGGGGTCTTGAAAGATCCAGAGGGAGAAGGCTTTTTGAAAAGTCATTTTTGCAAGAACATAACTTTTCAGGAAGCCTAGAGACCCACCCACAGGAAGAAAAGGAAAGCAATTTCACACTTTGGAAAACGGCCCCGGGGCAGAAGAAAATGAAAACCCACCAGTTGGTGGTAGGTGCTGCTGAGCTTCGGCAGGAAGAAACCCAGATCAAACAGGAGGCTGGGATGGGTCTGGAAGCATATGGACCCCAGGCCTCGCTGACTGACGGCCTGACACCGGCTTCTGAAGGACAGGGCAGCCACTTCTGTGAAGGGCTCGGCCAACCCTTCATGGGGGCCTTGCTCAAGGCCAACTAGCCAGGTGGGCGGACTGCCGATGGGCTCCGTGTCGGTCACCTAGGAGGACGGTGACGTTTCCAGAGGGGCACCTCCCTCTCTGCCACGGACATGCAGACATTTTCGGTGTAAAGCAGACTCTCAAATTCAAGCACTTGGACTGGGCAGGTGACAAGAGAGAATCATGTCATCCAGTAGAGATCAGGATAAACACACCACCAGATTTTGTCACATCAATGGATTTTTCTAGAAACATGATATTGGGACTTCAACAGGAAGTCTTCTGATATTAAAACGTCGGCTCACCAGGAACGTTTGCACACGCTGATGATTCCAGCTACTCAAGAAGGCCACGGCTGGAGGGTTGCAAGTCCAGGCCAGCCTGGACAACTGAGCAAGACCCTGTCTCAGAATAAATAGAAAGACCTGGATGTAGGTCAGGGGTAGAGGGCCCTGGGTTCTACTCCCAGTACAGGAAAAAAAAAAAAAAGCTCAATTATTAAAAATACCATAAAGGACAAAAGAAGAAACACCACCACCACACTGTCCAGATGAATCTCATTAATTGGGAGCAAATAAATAGGCCCCTTAATTTCATATTACCCCATTTCTTTGCCTGATCATGAACAATCTGCCATTTAGCTGGATTTTAATAGGTAGGTATTTCACGCTGCAGAATCTGGGCTTCCATGGGCACCCTGGTCACAGATTTTCCTCTGTGCGTGGCCTGTGTGTCTGTATCGTGACGTGACAGCCACATTGGTGCCATTATGATGGTAAGAACAGGAAGGCGCTCTCAGACCTCCCGAGCCTCCCTCCCCTGCGTGATTTTACAGCTCAGGAGACTGAGGTCCGGGGACAGGGACCAGCTCCAGCCTGCCCGGAGCCAGGGCGCGTTTGCACCGTCCACCTGCGCCCTGGCCTCTGGGTTTGCATTTTCCTGGGTCCTCGGGGAGGAGGGGGGAGCCCAGCGGGTGGCCAGATGTGCAGAGCTGGGGAAGTGGTTTGCCAGCAACTAGAAGCTGCAATCTGGCCTCCCCATCAGCCTCGCCTTTCTGCCCGCGGGAGATAAGAGACCAGCGCCTCCAAGGAACTAGCGGCTTTTGCACTGCAGAAAAGAAGGTCTTTGTTTGTTTGGGTTTTTTGAGTCATCAGTGAGCTCCGCGTGCCACCCCTGCCCCTCTTGGGCACGTGCAGGGTGCCCAGGGAGCCGTCAGCACCTGTGTGAGAGACAAGCTTCTGCCTCCCCCTCCTGGCATCTCTCAGGTCCCCCTCTTCCTGGGTCCCCTGTGCAAAGGAAGCCCCGAAGCCCACCTTTCGGCCCCGCCTGGCACACCGTGTGGTGCCAATGGTGAAGTGCAGGCTGTTCCTGGGGGCCTTCCTGGTTCGGGTCAGGTGCCACTTCCGGAGGGGACCCCTTACTCTGAGATCTGGAGAGGTGACCCTGAAGCTCCAGGGGACTCTAGCTGCTTTGTGTCCCATCTATTCTCAGCCAGGTGCAGACCTTGGCTACAGACTCCTCATGTTTACCTTCAAGCACATGCAGATCCCACAGTGTGGTGTGCGCTCAGGAGGGGAGGAGGGAGGGGAGGAGGGGGAGTAAGAGAGGAAAAGGGCGAGAGCAGCAGTGCTCAAGTCCGCCCACCCACCAGCCGTCCCATGAAGAAGATTCTGTTGTCCCCATTTACTGAAGGAGGACAGGAGGTACTGGCCGGTGCTGCCTGCCTGGCTGCGCGTTCCTGTTGGCCATGTGTGGGGCTGTGGTCCACCCATCCCTCTCCCTTTGGGGTCCTGTACAGAGGGGTTCGCCTGTGGAGGGACATGTGGCCGGGGAAGCTTGGGGAGAGTCTCAGGGTACTGCTAAATGCTCTTCTGCTGGGCAGGTTTGGCCCCAGACCCAACACCACCGAGGTCAGGTGGGAGCTCCGGTTCTGGAGTCAATGAAAGCAGGGTTACCTCTGTTGGCTGTGCCACGTCGGGTTGATGAGGCAACTTCTCTGAACCTAGTCAAGGTAGGATTTATACTAGTGGCACAAGACTATGACAGAGATGAGCTGACATAATGGAGCATTTCCAAAGATGTGGAGACCACAGGTGGCACTTAAAATGATTTTGGATAATGCCCAGAAAGAAAGCATTCGACAGCACTGCTCCTACCGTAAAGGCACCACAACCCGTTGAACTCCCTTGGGATTCTCCTAATTCATCCAGAAGGTCTCCATCCAAGGCAGCGTGTCCTTAACACCCAACGCCTGCTAATTATTTTGGTGGTTTTGCTCTTGTTTTAACAAGAGAGAAGACCTCAGGCTCGGGGACTACTGCCAGCAACGGTATGTAAGTAGAGTTTAATAAATATTTCCTCTGCGCTGGAGTCATTTTTTGGTCACTGGCTGTCTATTTATAGTAGTAACCTGAAAAATCTGCTTTGTCAGTAAAGGAATTTATGTTTTAAAAGCAGGTCCGAGCAAAGGGAGGCGGCCTGGGTAGATGGCGGTACCCAAAGCATTCAGAGGTGGCCAAGGTCATAAAGGAAGCTTAGGATGATTGGGAGGGTCGGCCTCGGGCCACACAGCGGTTAATGATGCTGTTTTGATACCATCTCAAGAGGAGCCATGGGACCTGAGAAGCAGGACACATCCCAAATGCAGACCCTCTGCTCCCTTCCCTCCACCACCAAAACTCAGACTGAGAGAAGACCAAAGCTTATGTCCCGTGGGCGAGGCAGGGGCCTGGCAAGCCCCCCGCTGGACCCAGGACCATCCCTGCCGCATGCCCTGCCTGGGCGTCACTTTTCTTCATCTGAAACAGATGGGACCAAGAGGCTGATCGTACCCTTCCAGTTCGGAGGATCTAGCAATCTTTGTTTGGTTGGTTCCTCACTTTCTCTTGGAGATTCCTAAGAGAAGTGATCATGGAAGGCAGCCCTGGGCTTCCTCTAGGGAACATTGCAATGGGAAGATGTTCTGTGCAAAAATGAATGAATGAAAGAATGCATGGATGGATGGATGTGATTTTATAAATATATTCACTGGGGGGCAGGGGGCAGAGAAGTTCACTTGAGCTCACTGTTTCAGTTCCTCCTCTGCAAAATTCTGTTCCTGTTGGTACCGACCTCACTGGGTTCTGAGGACTCAGCAAGGCCACGTGATGTCTCACAGAGCATGGGAAATGAGATACACATCCGTTTTGTGGACGGGGCATGAAGTCACGTGGATTCCTCGGGCAAGTTTCCCTGTTCTCTGAGGAGAAAGTCCCCGTTTGGTGCTAATATGGTTTCAATGCTTTACTGTCGCTTGCTCCAAATCCTTTTAACTAAATAGAAAGCCAGGACCTTGGCAGGCAGCAAGGTTCAACTGGAATAGGAAAGACTACCCCCAGGCGGTCCCTGGAAACAGGGACAGGGCCCAGGGACAGATTCCTCTAGGCAGGACAGGCACAGACAGGCGTCGGGTTAGGCAGTTCCTTCAGAACCAGAGGGGTCTTGGCCTAATTTGTGCAAAAGACCTTCAGATAAGGCCTGAAGACCCCTTTACAGAATAATGTGAGTTTTTTTAATGCAAAACAAAAATATCTGCACTGTTCCCGTGGGTTTTTTTTTTTTTGATCTTGGTAAAATATCCATGATGTAAAATATTTACTATTGTCGCTTCCCCCCTCCCCCAAAACCACCACCTTCTTTGGGTAGTACTGGGAATGGCACCCAGGGGAGCTCTACCACTGAGCTACATCCTCAGCCCTTTTTATTCTATCTTTTATTTTGAGACAGGGTCTCTCTATGTTGCTGAGGCTGACCTCAAACTTGTGATCCTCCTGCCTCAGCCTCCCAAATAGCTGAGATTATAAGCATGCACCTGGCCATCTGAGCATTTTTAAGCAGATGATTCAGTGGCATTAAGCCCATTCACGTGTTGTGCAAAGGTTGCCTCCATCCATTTCCAGAACTTTCTTTGTCTTCCCAATTGAAACTTTGTCCCCATTAAAAATTAAGTCATTATTCCCCCTCCCCCCTCCCCCACCCTTCTGTGAATCTGACTTCTCTATGTTCCTCATATGAGCGCTATATATGGAATTACACCGTATTTTTTCTTCCGTGTCTGGCTTATTTCATTTAGCATAAAATCCCCAAGGTTTATTACAGAATGTTTTCATGTGCACAAAATAAGAAATAGGCTTAAAAGAAAATCAATCATATGTAAAACAACAGTTCTCTAAGTAATTTTTCAAGCCAGGATAGCATCATGGGTGCTTTTTATTAAATAACAAGATACAGAGGTAGGCTTGACAATTGTTACAGTCTCCAGATAGTGATGAGCCTGTTTCAAGACAGCAAGAACAGCCAGAATGTGATCCGAAAATATCCGTGATTTTTCTATTGAGGAAAAATTTGAGAAACGCACTTGGAGTGCTGGTAAAGCATGCGATGTTGCCTGTATTCAAAATTGATGGAAGTGCTGACTTTCAATTTGAAGTTAGCAAAAATTAAAATATATATATATATGATTTTTTGTTTCCTACCCAATGTGTGGACTCCCTGAATTTATTCTCCTCCAAGAGCTGTTCCATTTGGCCTGGCTTGTTGCTATTGGTTGTGCACGCAGATGCAGACACAGGGGCAGCCAGAAACACAGGGGACCCTCCCCTTGCACAGACCACAGCGTTCTAACCAAGAGGGGACAGGCAGCCCGGTTCGTAGTAGTTGCTTAATTTTTCTCATTTACAAAAGGGCTCTGGATGGACAGCCTTTAATTACGAGACAGTTGGCTTTTCAAAAGCAATGTGTTCTAATCAAGACCATCTGGGCCCGGGCGGGGGCACTGCAGAAATTATAACTGCAGCTGAAAAACCACGAGACTCGCAGCAGGCGGACCACGGAGGCCTTGAGGGGGAGAATGGTTTCCATGTGCTTGGGAGACAGGGGCACGCCTCCCGCACTGTGTTCTCTGGCTTCAAAGCCAAGCCACAGTGCCAGTGGCCTGGGTTCTGCCTGCCCGTGTGGAAGGGGAACAGGAAGAGGCAGAAAATATGAGGCAGGGTGTTGGCTTAGATGTCCAGTTACGTGAGAATGTCAGATAAGCCAGGGATGGTTTTTAATGTAACTGGGTACCATGCAATGTGCTAAAGTCACACCTGCACGTGGTTTGTTGTTCATCTGAAATTCAAGTTTGAACAAGTGTCCTGTATTTTTATCTGTGAACTCTGGCAATGCCACCCCACTCAGACTGGATTCTGGAACCTTTCCTCCATATCTTTGTAAAGAAACACCTGGGCTAGCCCGGGACACGCGGAGCTCAAGTTGGAGACATCTGGGCAGTCGGCACAAGGATCAAGAACTTCCGTGAGCTTTGGGGTCCTGAAGACTTCAAGTAAGTGGCTTTCAACCCACTTTCTGTTACTATCTCACTTTTTAAAACTGGTCTGTTGCTTTCTGGTGGGTTGACCTTGAGAGAGAGTTATTTGACCTCTCCAAAGCCTCAGGCTTGTTCTCTGCAAAATGGGAAGAATGAAAGTCAGAGCTGAGGTCCAGCCATCGGAATGCTACCTACCACCTGTACCAGGTCACCTTCCCCGGCCGGCTGGTAGCTTCCCAGTCTCCATGGCGGCCAGCTACTCTGACCCCTTCCCTTTCCTCCCTCACCTTCTACCTTTCTTTACCTATTTCTACCCCTGGCACAGCCAAGGGCATCCAGGACCCCGTTCTGGTGCGGTGCTCTTCTCAGCATGCTTTCTGATTGGCCAGTCTTAGAGCTTGTAACCAACCAATCGACCATCACTCCTGTTGGCAAATCCCACCTCAAAAGGTAGCTGCAGGGATGGAGTGAAGTGATGTGAAAGAATTGTGTGATACAGGACCTGGACCTTAGGTATCGCACACACACACACACACACACACACACACACACACTTACCGAACGAATGAATGAATCAACCAATCAATGAACCAATGAATGGATGGATGAATGAATCAGTGATCCTTATGGACGATCCTTGGTTTTCTTTGTTTCTGGCAAAGCACTCTCCCTCTCCTTACCCTCCCACTCTCTACAGGTTACAGTCCCTAATATACAGGCTTCACAATCGTAAAGATCATCCTAGTTCAACCCGATCCACTTTACATCCAAAACCGAGCTAACAATTTACTGACTTATCTCAATAGGGCTACTTCTGTGCATTGGACCTTTGAGACATCGTTGGAAAGATCTTTTTGCTCAAAAACCTCCCTGTCATCCAGCGGCCACGAAGCCTGAAGTTTCATGAGAATCTTGGTCATCTTGAAAAACCCACCTGAGGCTTATCCAGGTAAAGCCCGCTCTCTTTAGCTGGCCACGACCCGGGTCATCCTGAGACCCTGAAACACGGGGCCAGGGTGGTGGCAGTAAGGAGGCTCTCAAAGAATCTGGAAGGTGACCTGGGACTTGCCAAAGACAGATGTGGCCAACTGGAAAATTTGGCGACAGCATGGCCCTGCCTCAATTTGTCCCACCGAGCCAGTTAAACCTTGGTTCCATGGCATAATAAAAAGGACAATAAGCATCAATATTAATGGATCATTTCATTCAAAAGAGCTTCCCACAAGAAAGCCAGACCCCCGGATGCCATCTTTTGCTAAGCAAAGCTCAAAGCCTTTCTTATATTGATGGTCGAGACTTTTTTATTATTATTATTATTTTTATTTTTTCAACTGAATGGATGGAAAAGTTTTTCACAGACCTACAAAGCGTGGGTCGTAAAACAAAGCCTGAAAATATCCAGGGGCAGAGTTATAGCTGGGAGGGCGTCTCTCCTCTTGCTATGCACAGATTGGTTCTACCGCTTGGCTCAATGCTAACTGCTGGGGTTCCGTGTTCCTGGCATCTAAATGTGCCTTTCTCTGCCGACACTTGGGGCCACCTGCGTGTCATCTTGAGGACATGGGTGAGAGCCAAGCAACTGCTGATAACTGGTGGTCCCCAAACCATGACGAAACACAACATCCAAGAATCTGACTGGGTCCCTTGGCAGCCTCAGAATTGCAAGAAAACGAAGACAGAAGTTTCTAGAAAGACAGGGGAGTTAAAATCCTGGCATTTTCTTCCGTTATCAATAACTGTGACTTATTAATTACCAATGGATGGTCACTAAACGAGGAAGGGTCTTTTCCCATCAGAGTCTAATTAGTTTTATTGTCTTTTCTCTGAAACCCATTGTATTCCACTCTACCCATCAGCTGCCTGCTTTAATTAATTTTGCACCACATTCAAAGGTTTTGCTTTTGTGCCTCTCTGTTTGATTTAAATTCCCCCTTTTTTTTTTGCAAATAATAAATAAATAACTATCAAAGCTAATGAGGCTCTGAAGATTTGAGATGTAAATATCATATGCAGATTCTTTTTTTGGGTCCCAGCTCAGCGGAAGACCAAAAATAACACTTGGAAGTTTGATTAAGAAATCTCAGGCTCCCCCTCCCAAGCCTCCCTCCAGACAAGCTTTCTGCTGGTATTTTCAGTTATTTGGCAAAAAAAAAAAAAAAAGAAAGAAAAGAAAAAAAAAATCATGCCTCCCTCCTCCACCAACACTCCAAACCTCAGGAGTAATTCTTTTCAAGAATGGTCTAGATGGACATAGGATTGTGCCACGCTGCTGCCTAAGAGCTGACCCCAGTGGACAGGTTCAAGTCCTTCTGAGAGGCCTTCTTCCGTGTATCTGTGCGTACACTCACCGCACACACGCTCTCCGTGTTCACCCAAACACATGCACACACTTGTGTGCACACTCATAAACACAAACTGGCAACACAGCTCGTAGCGTGCAAGATCATACTCTTACCCACGCACGTCCACATGCACGCACACATTTGCACCGACATGTGCTCACACACCCTCACACAACCTGCGGACATCCCCAACGTAGGCACCGAGCTTTGGCCGGTCAAGGTTTCGGGTTTCAAATCCGCGTCACGTGCGTGCGGCACATCCCTCCCAACATCCCCCCATCCCAAAGCGATCTCTGCAATAAATTGCAGGACCCCCCTCCCGTGGGTGTATCCCAGGGCTGCCCCAGGCAGTTATTAAACTGTATCCCCAAAGCTCTCCGATGGTGCAATCTGCTTTTGCCTAAGATCTCTGTATCCTTTACCGAGAAAGTCTGATTCATTTCCCAGAAATTTTCATCTGATCTTAATCTTTCAGGATATAGTTAGTGTTGTGATATTTTCAGATATTGTTTTTGGGTGGCGGGGGGGCAGGGAGGGCGGATTTCAAGTGGCTGTCCCCCGGCAGTCCCCGAGATTACTCGGTGCTTATAAGCAGCTCAAAACCGTGTGACAGCATTTCCATGCAAGGGACTTACAATCATGTTTCATTAATTCGACGTGAATGAAGCCTCATTTCTGGCCTTGAGGAGCTTAAGATTTATGTGAAATTAATAACAGAACAGATGTCTTCACAATTTGGTTCCTCTAGAAAAAAAAAAAAGAAGAAGAAAAAAAAAAGGAACCTGATTACTTTGAAAACTTCAATGCTATGAAATGCAGACCCAGGGAGTTCGCACTCCAGGGTAAAGAGTTCTGCGCTGAATACCGTCCACGTCTCAGAACTAAGTGGAATTTAAATGTCAGATTTATATTAAGTAGTCATATTCCCCATTATGACATATAATAAACAACAGCTTAGTACTTTCATTAATAAGATGGGTTGGACGTTTCGGCGAAAGCTGCGGAGATAGAGCTGGCACCTCATAAGCAGGAGGTGCCGGGCGCCTCTGGGGACCGTCGGGGGACACTCAGGCAGCCTGCTTTGGAGCTCGGTCTCTGATAATTTAATCATCGGCTCCTCCTAGGAGAGGGGAAGGCATCTGCTCACACAGAACTCACCGCTTTATGGAGAAGCTGAGCCGTCTCCTGCGGGTGTGTGTGCCCGAGGCCAAATGCTCTGCTTGGTGGGACACTTTGGGTCTGGCTGTTGATCTCATTTTTACCTCCTGCCTCAAATCCCACTTCTTCATGGAGACTTCTGTCGCCGCACTTGGTGCCCTCCTCCGGGCACCAGGGCCACGCACTCGGGTGGGGGCCCAGGGCTTTCTTCTCCAAGTCCAAAGGGGGGAAGAGAAGTGGGAAGTCGGTCCAGGGGATGTCGCTCTAGGGGAGGGGGGAGAGTCCCCGGTCCCCTGGCACCTGGCAGGAGTCCCCCACCCACTCTGGTGAAGCAATCCATGGGGTTGGGGACCCCCAACCATACCAGGAGCCTCTGCTCTCTGTCAAGCCCGCGTGCTCTTCACACCTGCCGCCTCTGGGTTTTCTCCGTGGGGGGGCCACGGGGGCTGGTTGTGAAAGCTCCTCCCGGCGGCGGCAGACTCGGTCTCCCCGCAGGGTGGGGCTTCCTGACTTTGGCTGCTCCTCTCTGAGTCCCTCCCCAGGGAGAAGCCAGCAGGGGGTCTTGTCTGGCCCCTGCGCTTCCTACCGTGGCCTGGGGCAAAACACCCAGCATGTTGGACCCTCTGACTCTTCATCGGAAAAGAGGCCTGACCAGGGCGGTGGTGAGAAGGGCAGGGCCGAGGCACAGCGCACAGCCGCTCTGGGGGCTCCCCTCCCACGGTCCAAGCAGCAGTGCCCTGGGAATATTAGGGAAAGGGCCGCATCTTTTGCCCATCTTGTCAGGCTTATCTTTTTCCTTTCCATTATTCCCTCGATGAGGTGGTAGAACTGTTTGCCTGACAGCGTCCTTGCACCAGGCCCTTGAAGACATCTAGCGGTGATCTCCGTGGGAGTAGACACGCGGGCTTTATGCAGATACTCTGCCATTTTATATTAGGAACAGGAGCATCTAAAGACCATGGGGTCAGAGGGCGCCCTGGAAGCCACCCTCCCAGCAGGTATGAAGGGTGAGACAGAGGTGTCTAGGAAGGACAGCACTTTAGGATGCTCCCAGCCTGCCATGGTCCCCCGCCATGGAAAGAGGGCTGCCAAGCCTTCTCTCCTCTTGGCTGCTGTGGGGTGGTTGTGTGCACAACAGTGGGGACAGGACTGGGCTGCAGAGGACAGGCTCCATGCCAGGAGAAGAGGCAGCCCCGATGGCCCCGTGGGGCAATGACAGACCTTCGGCCTCTTTCGGGAAACCAGGAGTGTGCGATGATCGTATGTGAAGGCTTGGGGTTTTGAGCTGAGGACACTCCATGTCTGCAAACCGTTATTTGAAATCACTGGGCTCACGGGGCACCGGGAAAGCCCCACCACGCTGGGCTGCGGACACGGTGGTCGCAGACAGAGCAGGCAGCTGCGGTTGAGGCCATGTGACGACCCGTTTCCTGCATCAGCACCTCTCCCTCCCGAGAAGCTCACAGGCTCCACGAAGTTTGGAGAGTCCCAAGTGGAAAGACCCTGACGGTCCCTGTGTAAATCACAGCATCACTGCATTAGACGGTCGAACCCAGCTCTAAGTGACAGAAACCCATTCGCTCATATAACAGAAGTCCACAGAAAATTCTGCTCAGGGTCCTGGATCAGGATCTCTGACCACGTCTGCAGGATTCAGTTTCTGTCTGTCCTCGACTTCACTTTTGGCCAGGTTGGTTCCAAGCTCCAGCGTACCTCATGGTTGCAAAAAGGCTGCCAGAAGTTCCAGACACCCCATGTTTTTTAAGTTTGAGTCCCAGAGGAAACATGGTCTGTTCTGACCCAGAGGTCTCAACCAACGTCCCTGGGTGTTTCGATGACTCTGCTGGGGTCACTTGCCCATTCTGGGGACAATCACAGTGCTCAAGATTCCGTGCCCACCTGAGACTGAGTATGGGCTTCTGTTGGCCCACTTCTTTCAGACAAGAGAGCAGGGAGAACGGAACGGAGGCCGGGGGTGGGAGGGCAGGCTCCGATGCCTATTGCCATGGTGATTCAGCAGAACCCTCTTATTTCAACAGAGCAGATAGGAAATTGAGAGGGGAAAGGATCAAGGTCAAGGCTGCGACCTCCACCACGCCGTGTGAGCTGCTGGGGGGCAGAGGTGGGACCACACGGGGCGTGGCCACCCCGCGGCTCAGCAGAGCCACTCCCCCTACTCCCCCGACTCGGTGCTGAAGGGGAGGAGAGAGGAGAGCTTGAAGGGACCCCTCAGGCCACGGCCCCCCATGAGCGAGGAGCAGAGCCCCCGTCGGTTGCCCGTCCTGTTCGTCTCTCGTCCCCTGTGCCACCCCCCTCTGCAGAGAGCCTCTCCTGACCCAGCACAGAGGTGGCCTCAAGACGTGTCATCCCATCACCTCCGTCACCTTATGTCTTTATTTTAATGCTGTGATTTCCCACCCCCACGCTCCTCGGCCGGGCGATGACCTTGCCCTGAGATCACAAATGACGGGGCGCACGGGGGGCACGGGGGGCCGGGCAGCAGCCCCAAGGGAGCAGGCCCCTGCGCGGGAGCCGAGGGGAACCGGTCATAGGCCCGAGAGGTCATCATCCATGTGGGGGCTCTCCCCCGCCACCCCTTCCCGGGCCTCTTCCCATCGGGGTCTTTAAAACCAACAGCATAAAACGACTCAGAGGAGAACGCAAGACTCCCCCTCGCCAAAGGGGTCTTGAGGGACGTTCTGCAGGAAGAACCCGGAGAATTGGGACTAAGGTCGTTGGGAAGTTTTCTACTACATACCCACAGGTCCCCGTGGGCTGTCAGAAGTCAGGAATGCGGCGGTCGAGAGGAGCCGGTGGACCTGAGGCACAACCCTCGGGGGCCTGGCGCCCCCACCCTGATTCAACCGTGCACCCACCGAGCCTGAGCTCGCCAGGCCACAACTCTAAGCCCCGTTCCCTACCCGCCGCCTCTGGGTGGGATAGGATCCCCCCAGGATTACTGCCGGAAGCTGGGTGCTCAGTGTGGACATGTTAAGAGGGGACTGGACCCAAGAGGCGGGGCTTAAGGGGAGGGGGCTAGGTCATCCAAGATGCTGCCCTCTGAAGGGATCACCTTGGTCTCAGTGGGGGAGGTATTTCCCTTAAGGTTGGTTGCTGTAAAAAGCCTGGTCCCAGGATCTTCTTGGCTACCTGTCTCACCATGTGACCTCTCCTCTTGTGCACGCTCTGCCATGATGCCATCTGCCCTGGGGTAATGGATGCAGCCTGGGGGGTCCTCACCAATGGGGGGCACCTCTACCCACACTTTCAACCTCCAAAATGGTGAGCTAAGTAAATCTTTTCGTGATAAGTACCCAGCCTCGGGTATTTTGTTATAGCCGCTGAAAATGGACTGATACAGCCCTAATATTCCCACTTTCCTGCCCTTCCTTCATCACCAACCCCAAGGCCACCACCACAGACTGACCCTTTCTTCTGTCTCCCACTTTCACTTCTCTCAGTGGAGACCAAGATGCTTCTCTTCCCTTTACCAATAAAAACACTCTTCAATTTGGTTAGCATTGACCAATCTCCTAGAAGTACTTATTATCATCTCCATTTTACTAACCAGGAAACGGAGACTTGAGATGTTTCCCGCCATCGAGTGGCCTGACCCAACCATTTCCTTCTGTCACCCAATGGCCCCGGTGGCCTGTCATTCAATTCTCTCCAATTTCCCTCTTTTTGAAACCAGGACGACCAGGTGTCCGGGTCCTCCCCGTGGAACTAGGGGGGCGGGAGGGGCCTCCTGGCTCACTTCCGTGGGCTCAGGTGTCTCCGTTCCTTCAGTAGCATTTGCTGAGCTTCGACTTCGCCTCTGTTCTCTTGGACCTGAAGTGGTGAGGGGTTTGGAAGGCAAAGGAGGAAGGGAAAAAGAGAATGGCTCTTTTTAATTAAAATATAATGGATTCCAAAGGTGTTTCCTGCTGGGCCAGAGCTTATATTGGCAACTATTAACGGAAAAATAAGTTCAAGAATCAAGCCATTAGTTCAATAGACGTACCTCTTCAACTACATTTATATTACAATCTAACTCATATCTATATTGTAGATATAAACTTATATCAGCAAATACATAGACCTTATGTCTGCAAATGCAGATACAGTATTTGTTTATTTATTTTAGTATGTAATACATGCATATGTTCAGATAATTCTAAGGTTATGAAAGTCTCTCTCTCATATATCACCCTGTTCCTCCCCTTAGAGATAATCACTTCTTTCTCATGAATCCATCCAGAGAAGGTAAAACATGTGCCAATAAGACTGCTTATTTCTTCAGAACCTCCTAAATACATTATCCAAATTTGTGGTAATTGCCAATCTGATCAGTGACAAATAGTTCTGTGAATAAACCATGGATTTTCTCAACACATTTTTCTGTTCCATTGTTGGATATTTTCTTATTGGTTTGCAGGGACTCTTTATATATGCAGCAAATCCACCGTTGGAGACTATGAACTGCAAATATTTTTCCACATATACTTTGAAGGTTTATGTTTTGTTTCACAGTCTTATAAAGTTTTCATTGTAGAAAAATTAACCAATGTTTTTTTTTTTAATGAATTCTGCTGTTTCAGTCATATTTGGAATACTCTTTAACCATTCTGAGATCATATTAAATTTCTTTCATTTTTAAAATTCTTTTATGTTTATTGTGGGTCTAAAAGCATTTCGTGTGGAATTTATTTGGCGAGTTCATTGTGAGGTAGGGATCCCATCTTATATGTATATTTCCCCGCTGTGTAACCACTTTCCCACCCATGTTTATTAAATGACTCTTCTTTTCTCCCACTTACACAAAGTACCCAAACCTCGGTAACAACTTCTACGTCAGTGGTCTTCACTTATTTCACAGTTTGGAGGCTAAATAAGGATTTCAAACTGATAATGTCAGTCACAACACTTGTGGGAGACACTTGGCACAAAACTTAGATGATATGGGAAAAGACTCTTTTGATAGAGAACATAGGGCCTCGGTTGACACCAACCAATGAGCGACATCAAACCGTCGCTCTGAATGAAGGCAGGCTGGGAGTGCCTCACACCATGCACCTTGGATCACCTTCAGGTTCCAGGCACCCAGAGAAGATAAATCTGAACACCAAAACAGAGGCGCGGCTCTGGAAGCAACAACGTGCCAGGTGAGAGTCGGCCAGGTTGCCAAGGGTCCACGTGGATTCGCCCCAGCTAAGACGGCCAGGAGGACACGCTCTTCATGTGACCTCTACCAAATGACCACGCACCTGGCCTCTCCATCAGAGCCACTGCCGCCCTGTGCAGCACCCCTGGTCACCCCAAGGAGGCGGCCTAAAGCTGGGGGTGATCCCAGGACCCGCTTCCCACCAAGGAGGGTCTGGGTGCCCTTTAATCTTCTTAGAGCCAAATCCACTGAGCCCAATTCTAATTTGATATGGTTGCACTCCGCCAATAGAAACTCACAAACCGCCTTAACATCCTAATGCATCGTGAAAAAAGAGTCGCTAAGTACCAGGGACCCTGTGAGGACCCCAGGCTTCCATTCATCTCCAGCTTTGTGCTCGGGCAGCATATTAAAGTGATCTCCACTTCAGAGAGGCGCTCCCCAAAGAGGGCTCCAGTCTTAATTAAAATGTCAATGAAATACAAAAGTGCACGAGGGACGTTTTCAGAAATCATTCCCTTTTAACTTCCGGAAGCCTGGCTGCCGCGCCCCTCAAGCCTGCCTGCTGGTCTTCTGAGCACCCAGCCCTCCTTCCTGCCAGGAGGGAGCCCTTGCCTACACCAGGGGCCATCCCTGGGGGATCCGGAGGGAGGCCGGCTGCAGAGGCCTGCCGGAGGCTTCTCTTAGGTGGCGCCGAGGCTCCGGTTAGCATCCCCTGGTGCACAGCCCAGAACCACCCAAGGGTAGACCTGAAGGATGGGGAAGAAGAAGAGAAAACAGCAGCTGGGCCCAGGCCAGTGAACTCAGAGTAGAGCCAGCAACACACGGTTTCCTTTAATTCAGAAACTGAGAACACCAAGACCTGGGGTGAGGGCTAGACCAGGAACCAAATTGAGAATGGGAGGCAGGTGAAGGCAATAGGGAGTGGTGGGGACTGCGGGGAACTAGGAATCCTCCTTTCAAAAGAGTCCGCTCTTACTCCACTTCAAGGCGGTCTACATGTGGGATGCAAACCTGCTGTCCTGGGTCTTCTGGCTTTTTGCAGGTTTAAGAGGTGAAATCTAGTTTCATCCGGTGACTTACTGAGTATTTAAAACCCTGTGGGAGCCCTGGGGCAAAAATAAATACAGAGATGAACACTGGCCTTCAGTCCTGGAGAGTCCTGTTAGCTCTCAGCCTTGTCTCTTCTCTTGACTGCAATCCATCCACCCATCCACCATCCATCCACCATCCACC